TACCAACTTCTGTCTTAGGGTTTCTTTTACTGTGAAGAGACACCAGGACCACAGCAACTCTTATAAAGGGAGATATTTAATTGGTGGAGCTTACTTACAGTTCAGAGGTTCAGTCTATGTATCATTGCAGCAGGGAGCCCGGTGGTGTGCATGGTGCTGCAAGTCCTACATCTTGCAGGCAATAGGAAGTGGTCTGGGACACTGGGAGGTAGCTTGAGCATATGTGAGACCTCCAAGTTCACCTTCACAGTGACACACTTCCTCCAACAAGGCCACACCTCCTAATAGTGCCATTCCCTTTGGGAACCATTTTCTTTCAAGCCAACACAATAGTCATGGACTTACTCTCCAAAACTGTAAGCAGTGCCCCCATTAAATACTCAGTAAGTTGCCTTGGCCACGGTGTCTCTTCACAGCAACAGAACAGTAACTAAGATACCTTGCCTCAAAAACAGAAAAACAATGTGGGACGTGTTAGAGGAAGACGGCTGGCATTGACCTCTACCCCACAGGTACACGTAGGGAGCCTGCAGCTGCACGTCTGCACACACAAGTGAAACCAAAGCTTATCAACATCCTTTGGATTATGAGATGTAAGCTGGTGCAGCCTCTTCTAAAGGTGATTACACAAAATTAAATAAAGTCATGTCTATGGAATCTACTTTTAAAAATCACTTTTAAGTTTGTATTCACTATTACCCAGAATTAATACGTTTTATGACTGTGACTCTTTTATAAAGAACAGATTGTTAAGATGGTCTACCCAAGTTTGGTGGCCTGAGCTCAATCCTCGGGACCTTCGTGGTGAAAAGGGAGCACCAACTCCTGCCAGGTGTCTGCTGACCTCCCCAAGCTCAAAATGTCCACACATCACACAGACCCACACCTAGACACAAACACATAAATAAGTAAACAAATACTGTTTTTGACATGTAAAGCTTTGGAGTAGAAAAGTATGTCATAGAAGGATCCTTACAATGTAGCTTCATACATTGAGAAATTCTCTCTATGAACATACATATCCATATAAATGAATAGAAAACATGAAGGCTACATGTTACATAGAACAAGACAGACATAGGACTAAGACTAGGAATTTTACTCAAAGAGATCAGCTTTGCCTCTGTCTTAATCGGTGTTCTATTGCTGTGAAGAAAGCTGAGAGAAAGCATTTAATTGGGACTTCCTTACACTTTCAGAACTTTAGTCCATTATCATGGTGGGGAGCATGGCATGGTGCTAGCAAAGAAGCTGAGAATCCTTCACCTGGATCTGCAGGCAGCGGGAAAACAGAGACACGGGAAACCTCAAAGCCCACCCACAGGGGGCTTCCCTTCATCAAGGCTACACCTCCTAACACCTTCAAATATGAGCCTATGGTGGCCATTCTCATTCAAACCACCACAGTCTCTAAACTTTATTTACAAACATAATGGATGTATTAATTACTTGAGTAGTTAAAGCTTAATACACAATTTTTTCTCCTTTCCCATCCAACTCCCTTCCCCAGAAACAATTACTCCTAATGAGGTATTTTAACTTTTCCTATGCTCAGATGCACAAGCATGCACATACACCTCTTGATTTTGTTTGTAATTTCCTTTTAAACTAGAGCCATACCACACCTAATATTCGGCAGCTTTCCTTTTTCACTTAATATTTCAAAGGTATTCCCCAGGCAATATGTAGAGATATTCAGTCTTTCTTATATTTTTACAATAGTTTGGGATCGATGTTGGCTGAGAACCCCCAAGACCAAGTTCTCAACACAAAGGAGATTTATTTGCCCCAAAGGGAGAAAGGGCAGGAATAAGAGACAAAGACAGAAGGTAGAGGATGAAGAAGGGTAAGAAAACAAGGGAGAGGCGGCAGGGATGTTTGTCCCAGAAGTGGGGACAAAGGATTGCCTCTGGATAGGGGAGACAGGCATGGCCCATAGGGAAATGGCAGTTTATAGAGGTAAAAGGGGGAAATCCGTGTTAGGACAAGGGGTTTAATTTTAATAAGGCATGTTAATTAGGCAGCCAAAGTGGGTTTTTGGTTACTGGACTTCAATACTTTGATAGCTGGACCTTGGTGGTCAGCCTCAGGAGGAGGAAGTGTCCAAATAAGGGAACAGACCTTGGTAGCTGGCTTTAGGAATGGAATCTAATGGTTCAGCAAGGCAGAGGAATGGGGGAGAAGGGCAAGACCTGACAGAGCCATGTATTGTCATTCTCAGGCTGGCTAGAGTCCCTTCAATAATTTGTACAAAATTCCTTTATGAACATTCATGTTGTTTCCAGTGATATTTTTGCTACTGTCATATATGTATATGATAACAGATACAATTCTGGTTTTAATATCAAATGTCCCCTAAAGGCTCATGTATTTGAACATTCTTCTGTTATCATTTGGGAAAGTTGTAGGACCTTTATAAAATGGAGACTTGCCAGACAGTAGTGATGCATGACTTTAATAACTAGAACTCAGGAGGCAGAGGCAGGCAGATCTCTGAGTTCAAGGCCAGCCTGGTCTACAGTGTGAGTTCTAGGACAGCTAGGGCTACACAGAAAAATTCTGTCTTAAAAAAAAGAACAGAAGGAAGGAAGGAAGGAAGGAAGGAAGGAAGGAAGGAAGGAAGGAGAAAGGAAGA